GGAGGGCTTGACAGCTGAAGGAAACAACAGCCAATGGCTTAATAGCCAGCCATCAACTTCCCAGTCAACAACTAAAAAGCTATTTTCAACTGGGCACCATATAAATACCACACAGAGAACAGCTGAAAGTACACACTCTACTAGAGAGACATTCCCTGAGGATGGGCTCCAACACAAGTCTGAAAGCTTGGAAGACTAAACCTGTGGTCCCAGTAACCAATCCAGATTGGATCCTGCAAAAGTAGGCTCTCCCCAAAGTACCTACTTTTGGATCAGAGGTGGGTTCCTACCAGTTCGCACCTATTCGTTAGAACCGGTTCATCAAATCTACCGAACCGGTTAGAAGAGGTTCCACCAGTGGACCCGGAAAGCAGGCCACACCTACAGAAGANAGACTGTGGGGGCGATATGCTGACTCTGTAAACCGCTTAGAGGGGGCTGAAAGCCCTATGAAGCGGTATATAAGTCTAACTGCTATTGCTATTTCTGCTTTGATTCCCTGAAGAGTTGCCAAGTGCTAAATGACTCCATAATGTTGTGCAAGGCCCTAACCCTAACCCTAACTCTGTAAACCGCTTAGAGGGGGCTGAAAGCCCTATGAAGCGGTATATAAGTCTAACTGCTATTGCTATTGCTAAGCCCAAATCCCGAAGGGTTCCCTTACCATAAAAAAGTGAGCTTATAACATCCTGACTTTTTAGAGTTATTATTTCATTGAATGACCAGCAGGATCCAGCATTGTAGGCTTGGGTCTGGTGTACATGTTGCAAGATCGATCCTGCTAACAATCTATTTCTTCTTCCCAACAGGATTGTGATTCATGGTGAACGCTGCCTGGATGCTGTTGTACCTGGATCAGCTCAGCCATTTGATTTCCCCAAGGAATTTGGGCTTTCTGAGGAAGAGGTACCGGTCACTTTTGGAAGGGAGACAGAAATGATGCAACTACATTCAGAAGAAAAAGCTGTTTCTATGTCTAGTCAGTTTTGTCTCTATGAAGGGCATGAAAAGCAATCTTCCCTAAAGCCAAGGAAGTACAGAAAACGTAATAAGGGTAATCCAAGTTAGTAAGATTACGTAAGTGCAATAAATGAATGAGCAGGATAATGTGGTGCAGCCTCAAAGCATAGAAAATTTAATTATATTGATAGCTCAGTGAAATTTTTCTAAAAAGGAAGATTTTTTTGGTATATCAAATATACGTTTAAGTATGTGAGATACATTATCCTCATTATCATCATTTATTAAATGTATGATGTATGCTGCTGGACTCATAATGAATCTGGATCCTCAACACAAGAGGCAGGAAAATCATACCTAACATGCAGTGGTGGGATTCAGCCAGTTCGGGAGAACCGGTTGGTAACTTTCTAGGTAGTTCAGAGAATCGATTGTTGGAAGAAATCTCCTTTTGTTTTTTTCCACTTTGCAGGGCTAATCCTGTAAGGAAGGCAGGAAGGAAACATTCTGGTGTTGTTTCTAGCCTAATCTTTATTGACCTGCTTACAGAAACTGCCTCTCCGGTTAACCCTTACGACATTGTAACAGCTAACGCGAAGCGCCCATCGACCTGAGTGACCTTGAGTTGGCCATGCCTACCCAGTCACATGACCACCGAGCCCCACCTACCCAGATGGTCATTAGGGCAGAGAACCGGTTGTTAAATTATTTGAATCCCACCACTGCTAACATGTAATTTTTTTCACAAATACTGTGGTCTGAAACTACTTAGGGGTTTCTTCATAAGAAACTGTGCTTTGAATAGAGCTCAGAATAGCAATAGCAGTTAGACTTATATACCGCTTCATAGGGCTTTCAGCCCTCTCTAAGCAGTTTACAGAGTCAGCATATTGCCCCCACAGTCTGGGTCCTTATTTTACCCACCTCGGAAGGATGAAAGGCTGAGTCAACCTTGAGCCGGTGAGATTAGAACCGCTGAACTGCAACAGTCAGCTGAAGTGGCCTGCAGTACTGCACCCTAACCACTGCGCCACCTCGGCTCAAGAGGTTCCACCAGTGGACCCAGAAATCAGGCCACACCTACAGAAGAGGTTCCAATTTTTTTTGAAACCCACCACTGGTCCTTGGATATGATTATTCTACATTATCATGCTCATATTTATAAAACTCAGTGCCTCTGTGAAAGGTAAGGATGACGACTGCGTTTGTGGTGCAATCAGAACATTGCGTGTGTTGAAGTTGTTTTAACGCAAACCAAAGATGCCTTTTAAAAAACAAGTTTACATCATATTGTTATGCATGCCAGTGCTGTGTGTGAGGTAATTTAAGGTGGTTCTGACAAGTGTCGTCGGCATCTTCATATCTGGTCACATGGACGGCAAGCCACTCCCACAAAGAAGGCCACACCAACAGAGTAGGTTCAAACAATTTTTGAAACCCACCACTGTTTTGGATTGATCCTTCTCATCAAGATTGGCAAAAGGACCCTTCAGGCAGTAAAAATGTATAAGGTTTTCTCATCCAGTTGAGCCATGCTTGGGCAAAGCCTCTTTGAGTTTGGATATCTACTCATATTCTCAAAGATCCTTACAGGTTGACTTCTTGATTCTGCTTCCTGATTGTACTCAACTACCTCAGGGATCCTGAATAGTAGATAGCTTCTGTCTCATTCTTGCCTTCTGTCAGAAACTCAACCTGGGTTCCAGGTTACAAAGAGGTCTTCCCTGGGCCAAACTCATGATCTAAGTTCAAAAAGGTGACAGCAGGACCTTCCTCAAAGATGCCATATGAATATTGTAGCTTGTACATTATCATTGGCTGCTCTTTGGTCCTATATTTTCTCTATGTTCTGTTATACAGAAAATGGACTAAAACTATCCATTAATATATGGATTTTTAAAAAAAATCTTTCCACTTAAGTTAATGGAAAGAAAATGTTTCATGCCAGTTCTGAGGCTGCTATGAAAATATATATTTAATGGGATTTTGGAGAAATACAAGATGCAATGAAAACCAGCTCCTCTATTGCACTGCTGCCTCCCCCCATATTTTTTAGATATTCTGATGGAAGATCAAATCTGGAGAAACAATCATGCTGGCAAACGATTTTGCTGTAATGTTTTGCAAGCGATAAACATGGGGATGACATATCTTGCATTCTACCAATATCGTGAATTTCTCCCTCAAATGGACAATCTCAAACATAGGACGTCTATCTGGTATCTTAATCAGACTAACCCAAATGACACAAAGGCATGTGTAATGTTTGAAATTGCCCATAACTCTTCATCATGTGGCGTGAAAACAAATTAGGATGAAAAGACATTAAGAGCAGTAGCTCAAAAATTAAGCTACATACCATAGATATGAGATTTGCAGTTTAAGTCAGTCTATAAGATTGTACCAAGCTTTCTGGAACAATGAAATAATGCTAATCAAAAACCTATGGAGACCAAAGAAGAAAAGCAAGAACTAGTCATTGTTTAATCAAGCAAGTAATGGAAAGCCAGTTCGTTTCCCTCCCTCCTTTTATTAAGGAGCCTCATTTGGCCTGAAGAATTCAGTTACAAGAGGAAAAAAATGACAATAATTAGTATTTAGATCACATTCTAGAAAATGTAAAGCGTCCTACATGTAATATCTTTGTATTCCTTGAAACAATTATTCATGAAGGCTTTATTCAGCTACTTTGAAGATGGGGAGTTGAAGCTGAGAAAAGCTCACTTCTGAACATCTCTTCAGTGGAAAACTAGATCTTTATGCTTCTAGTGCCATCATGTCAGAGGTGGGTTGCTACCAGTTCGCACCTATTCGGTAGAACCGGTTCGTCAAATCTACCGGACCGGTTAGAATAGCAATAGCAGTTAGACTTATATACCGCTTCATAAGGCTTTCAGCCATCTCTAAGCGGTTTACAGAGCCAGCATATCGCCCCCACAGTCTGGGTCCTCATTTCACCCTCCTCAGAAGGATGGAAGGCTGAGTCAACCTTGAGCCGGTGAGATTAGAACCGCTGAACTGCAACAGTCAGCTGAAGTGGCCTGCAGTACTGCACCCTAACCACTGCGCCACCTCGGCTCNCAGGGAGGTAATTGGCAGAAGGCGGTCTCTCAAATTAATATTGCTACCATTTCAGGTCAGCTTATATGACTAGTTAGAGTTTGCCATTTATCTTAAGTTTGAAAACAGTGGCTAGAAATAATTTTACCAATTCTGTGCCTGCTTCAACATTTTCCCCACTTAACTTATGGAAGTCATACGTATGACTTCAAGAAAAGTTAGTACAACTAAAGAAAGCAAAGAACAAAAATAAACTGCCCATCTAATGAGTAACAGGTTAAAACAGCATTTCCTTATTCATGCATGCATCCCATCTTTGAGGCAAACTCGTAATGCAGCTTCTGTTATCCTTCTGCAATGTGTACTGATGGTCCTTGAAAAGGATTACAAGATAACAGAGGTGAAGGACCTTGAACACTCAAGAATGAAATGAAGTTTTAGTTGAACAATATATTCCTTGGCATCTATTTATTGATTTATATATCAGTTTTATTTGTACAAATCAAGACAGCATGCATACATTATGCTCCCTTCTTCTATTTCCCCCACCACAACAACCTTGTAGGTGGGCTGGACTGAGAGAGATAGATTGGCCCAAAGACACCCAGCTGGCTTCCATGCCATTTCTCCGATTCTAGTCCAGCCTTTAACTGTCACTCCAACCTGGTTCTCAATATAGAAATATTTTGTTATTGTCTTTTGAAGACGTTTTTCCACTTCCCAGTTTAACCAAGGCCTGGGATTTCCTGGTGGTCTTCCATCCATGTTCTAACGATGCCCCACCCTGATTATCTTTTCAAGGTCAGCCATGTGCTGCGGATATCAAATGCTACATATTATTCTCGTAAAACATCACCCCCATTGCTAGGTGAAGATCTGCCAGTAAGAGTTGCAGCTGAGATAATGCTAAGTCGCTAATTCTACTAGCAACTTATTGATTTTTGAAAGATCATATGTCATTTCTCTTCCTTCCCACACAGGACATGATTTTCTTGGGTGATTTCAACGCAGACTGTGGATACGTGGCCAAGAAACGTTGGAAAGACATCCGCCTGCGCCAGAAACCTGGCTTTCATTGGCTCATAGGAGACAAAGCTGACACCACTGTTCGAGAGAAGACCCACTGCGCTTATGACAGGTGGGATTAAGACTGTTTGGGCGCAGGACTTTAGTTCTGAAGGGTAGGGTGCTGCTCATCAGGAAAGCCCTGAAGAGTCGAGGTGGCGCAGTGGTTAGGGTGCAGTACTGCAGGCCACTTCAGCTGACTGTTATCTGCAGTTCAGCGGTTCAAATCTCACCGGCTCAAGGTTGACTCAGCCTTCCATCCTTCCGAGGTGGGTGAAATGAGGACCCAGACTGTGGGGGCGATATGCTGACTCTGTAAACCGCTTAGAGGGGGCTGAAAGCCCTATGAAGCGGTATATAAGTCTAACTGCTATTGCTATTTCTGCTTTGATTCCCTGAAGAGTTGCCAAGTGCTAAATGACTCCATAATGTTGTGCAAGGCCCTAACCCTAACCCTAACTCTGTAAACCGCTTAGAGGGGGCTGAAAGCCCTATGAAGCGGTATATAAGTCTAACTGCTATTGCTATTGCTAAGCCCAAATCCCGAAGGGTTCCCTTACCATAAAAAAGTGAGCTTATAACATCCTGACTTTTTAGAGTTATTATTTCATTGAATGACCAGCAGGATCCAGCATTGTAGGCTTGGGTCTGGTGTACATGTTGCAAGATCGATCCTGCTAACAATCTATTTCTTCTTCCCAACAGGATTGTGATTCATGGTGAACGCTGCCTGGATGCTGTTGTACCTGGATCAGCTCAGCCATTTGATTTCCCCAAGGAATTTGGGCTTTCTGAGGAAGAGGTACCGGTCACTTTTGGAAGGGAGACAGAAATGATGCAACTACATTCAGAAGAAAAAGCTGTTTCTATGTCTAGTCAGTTTTGTCTCTATGAAGGGCATGAAAAGCAATCTTCCCTAAAGCCAAGGAAGTACAGAAAACGTAATAAGGGTAATCCAAGTTAGTAAGATTACGTAAGTGCAATAAATGAATGAGCAGGATAATGTGGTGCAGCCTCAAAGCATAGAAAATTTAATTATATTGATAGCTCAGTGAAATTTTTCTAAAAAGGAAGATTTTTTTGGTATATCAAATATACGTTTAAGTATGTGAGATACATTATCCTCATTATCATCATTTATTAAATGTATGATGTATGCTGCTGGACTCATAATGAATCTGGATCCTCAACACAAGAGGCAGGAAAATCATACCTAACATGCAGTGGTGGGATTCAGCCAGTTCGGGAGAACCGGTTGGTAACTTTCTAGGTAGTTCAGAGAATCGATTGTTGGAAGAAATCTCCTTTTGTTTTTTTCCACTTTGCAGGGCTAATCCTGTAAGGAAGGCAGGAAGGAAACATTCTGGTGTTGTTTCTAGCCTAATCTTTATTGACCTGCTTACAGAAACTGCCTCTCCGGTTAACCCTTACGACATTGTAACAGCTAACGCGAAGCGCCCATCGACCTGAGTGACCTTGAGTTGGCCATGCCTACCCAGTCACATGACCACCGAGCCCCACCTACCCAGATGGTCATTAGGGCAGAGAACCGGTTGTTAAATTATTTGAATCCCACCACTGCTAACATGTAATTTTTTTCACAAATACTGTGGTCTGAAACTACTTAGGGGTTTCTTCATAAGAAACTGTGCTTTGAATAGAGCTCAGAATAGCAATAGCAGTTAGACTTATATACCGCTTCATAGGGCTTTCAGCCCTCTCTAAGCAGTTTACAGAGTCAGCATATTGCCCCCACAGTCTGGGTCCTTATTTTACCCACCTCGGAAGGATGAAAGGCTGAGTCAACCCTGAGCCGGTGAGATTTGAACCGCCAAACTGCAGATAGCAGTCAGCTGAAGTGGTTGCAGTTCTGCACTCTAACCAATGCGCCATGTATGATGCTTTAAGGCAGTGGTTCTCAACCTTCCTAGTGCCGCGACCCTTTAATACAGTTTCTCATGTTGTGGTGACCCCCCAACCATAAAATTATTTTACGTTTTCCGTATTTTTTCAAAAATATTTGTTTTCCAATGGTCTTAGGCGACCCCTGTGAAAGGGTCATTCGACCCCCAAAGGGGTCCCGACCCACCGGTTGAGAACCACTCCTTTAAGAGATCAGTTTACTGGAGAAAAGAGCATAATGGCAACACGTTAAGTCACAGTGTGGCCAGTTAGATTTTGGCTTAGTCTGTGGTGCAAACCTTTTATCCACAAAATAAAGGTGAAGAATGTGACCTTTTTGCATTGTGGGAACCAATCTCAGGTTTGATCCAAAAAATTTATAATTCAGGCACTAGTTCTCTGTACTGTGATAGGAGAAAGATTTTTAAAGAGGGATGTTAAAGTCACAGGGGACTGGAAAGTCAATCCTTGAACAACATTTCTATAAAATGTCAGGATATGCTACATGACCCCTATAACTAAATCTGAGAGATTATCTGCTGCTTCTCTTATTTCTTCTTCTTCATTCAATTCCAATTGCAAGACCTTTCTTAATGATTAGGTTGATTTGGGGTGATGTTAGCTATAATCCCACATCTCTGAAAAAAGCACTGGGACAGGAAAGATTGGGCTGAAGTGATGAATTGGTGGTGAAGGCATTTCTTCCCTTGGGTTCGGAGCAGAAAACAGAAACATTTCCACTTCTGATCCTTTTCTCTTTCTCTTCACTTTCCAGGCCTTAGAGATCAGTGATCATTATCCTGTAGAGGTGGAACTTGTCTCTTCCTGTAAGAAGCTCCAGCCAGCTAGTTTAGCTGGTCTTGTGTTGCTGACCATAGTTGTGATATCAGACTCAAGATATGGCATATGAAGGAAGAAGATGGCTGTTGTGCTAGTCCTAGAACAATACCGATGGAGGCTTACCAAAAGGGTACTTATTACTCTCACAACAGCACTTGAATCAATTATGTTGACTCTAGATTCAGCTTCCATCTGTGGTGAATCTCTGATGTTCTAACAGTAAGTTCTGGGAAAGCCTTGGAAATGGATCCCTCCTAAGTCAACGGGAGTGCTGATTTCCCACCAGCTTATCAAGTACTTAGGAGGGGAGGGCTTGACAGCTGAAGGAAACAACAGCCAATGGCTTAATAGCCAGCCATCAACTTCCCAGTCAACAACTAAAAAGCTATTTTCAACTGGGCACCATATAAATACCACACAGAGAACAGCTGAAAGTACACACTCTACTAGAGAGACATTCCCTGAGGATGGGCTCCAACACAAGTCTGAAAGCTTGGAAGACTAAACCTGTGGTCCCAGTAACCAATCCAGATTGGATCCTGCAAAAGTAGGCTCTCCCCAAAGTACCTACTTTTGGATCAGAGGTGGGTTCCTACCAGTTCGCACCTATTCGTTAGAACCGGTTCATCAAATCTACCGAACCGGTTAGAAGAGGTTCCACCAGTGGACCCGGAAAGCAGGCCACACCTACAGAAGAGGTTCCAAAAATTTTTGAAACCCACCACTGGTCCTTGGATATGATTATTCTACATTATCATGCTCATATTTATAAAACTCAGTGCCTCTGTGAAAGGTAAGGATGACTACTGCGTTTGTGGTGCAATCAGAACATTGCGTGTGTTGAAGTTGTTTTAACGCAAACCAAAGATGCCTTTTAAAAAACAAGTTTACATCATATTGTTATGCATGCCAGTGCTGTGTGTGAGGTAATTTAAGGTGGTTCTGACAAGTGTCGTCGGCATCTTCATATCTGGTCACATGGACGGCAAGCCACTCCCACAAAGAAGGCCACACCAACAGAGTAGGTTCAAACAATTTTTGAAACCCACCACTGTTTTGGATTGATCCTTCTCATCAAGATTGGCAAAAGGACCCTTCAGGCAGTAAAAATGTATAAGGTTTTCTCATCCAGTTGAGCCATGCTTGGGCAAAGCCTCTTTGAGTTTGGATATCTACTCATATTCTCAAAGATCCTTACAGGTTGACTTCTTGATTCTGCTTCCTGATTGTACTCAACTACCTCAGGGATCCTGAATAGTAGATAGCTTCTGTCTCATTCTTGCCTTCTGTCAGAAACTCAACCTGGGTTCCAGGTTACAAAGAGGTCTTCCCTGGGCCAAACTCATGATCTAAGTTCAAAAAGGTGACAGCAGGACCTTCCTCAAAGATGCCATATGAATATTGTAGCTTGTACATTATCATTGGCTGCTCTTTGGTCCTATATTTTCTCTATGTTCTGTTATACAGAAAATGGACTAAAACTATCCATTAATATATGGATTTTTAAAAAAAATCTTTCCACTTAAGTTAATGGAAAGAAAATGTTTCATGCCAGTTCTGAGGCTGCTATGAAAATATATATTTAATGGGATTTTGGAGAAATACAAGATGCAATGAAAACCAGCTCCTCTATTGCACTGCTGCCTCCCCCCATATTTTTTAGATATTCTGATGGAAGATCAAATCTGGAGAAACAATCATGCTGGCAAACGATTTTGCTGTAATGTTTTGCAAGCGATAAACATGGGGATGACATATCTTGCATTCTACCAATATCGTGAATTTCTCCCTCAAATGGACAATCTCAAACATAGGACGTCTATCTGGTATCTTAATCAGACTAACCCAAATGACACAAAGGCATGTGTAATGTTTGAAATTGCCCATAACTCTTCATCATGTGGCGTGAAAACAAATTAGGATGAAAAGACATTAAGAGCAGTAGCTCAAAAATTAAGCTACATACCATAGATATGAGATTTGCAGTTTAAGTCAGTCTATAAGATTGTACCAAGCTTTCTGGAACAATGAAATAATGCTAATCAAAAACCTATGGAGACCAAAGAAGAAAAGCAAGAACTAGTCATTGTTTAATCAAGCAAGTAATGGAAAGCCAGTTCGTTTCCCTCCCTCCTTTTATTAAGGAGCCTCATTTGGCCTGAAGAATTCAGTTACAAGAGGAAAAAAATGACAATAATTAGTATTTAGATCACATTCTAGAAAATGTAAAGCGTCCTACATGTAATATCTTTGTATTCCTTGAAACAATTATTCATGAAGGCTTTATTCAGCTACTTTGAAGATGGGGAGTTGAAGCTGAGAAAAGCTCACTTCTGAACATCTCTTCAGTGGAAAACTAGATCTTTATGCTTCTAGTGCCATCATGTCAGAGGTGGGTTGCTACCAGTTCGCACCTATTCGGTAGAACCGGTTCGTCAAATCTACCGGACCGGTTAGAATAGCAATAGCAGTTAGACTTATATACCGCTTCATAAGGCTTTCAGCCATCTCTAAGCGGTTTACAGAGCCAGCATATCGCCCCCACAGTCTGGGTCCTCATTTCACCCTCCTCAGAAGGATGGAAGGCTGAGTCAACCTTGAGCCGGTGAGATTAGAACCGCTGAACTGCAACAGTCAGCTGAAGTGGCCTGCAGTACTGCACCCTAACCACTGCGCCACCTCGGCTCAAGAGGTTCCACCAGTGGACCCAGAAATCAGGCCACACCTACAGAAGAGGTTCCAATTTTTTTTGAAACCCACCACTGCTAAATGGTTAGGGGTGCAAGGATCTTGTAACTTGACAGCTTTAAGACTTGCATGCTTCAATGCCAGAGTTCCTGAGCCAACGTGACTGGAGGAGGAATTCTGGGAGTTGAAGTCCACAAGTCTTAAAGCTGTCAGGTTTGAAGACCCCTAGGTTTTTTTCTAAAGAATTAGGGGTGCAAGGATCTTGCGACTTGACAGCTTTAAGACTTTCATGCTTCAATGCCAGAGTTTCTGAATAGCTACTTGGACCGATCTAAGTACTAATTCATAATTTCATATCTGGTCACATGGGCAGCAAGCCACTCCCATCCAGTCACATGGGCGGCAAGCCACTCCCACAAAGGAGGCCACACCCACAGAGTAGGTTCCAACAATTTTTGAAACCCACCACTGCATCATGTCCACAGTGATCACTTTACAAATTCTTAGATGTGCAGCATATATGTGCAGATCACTCATAAGGAGTGAATGTGAGCCTTACACCACAGTTGAATTTCCAGTCAGTGTATTCAGATAACTTCAGTGGATATCAAGTTGAATCCCTACCTCTTCTGAAATTTGCAAATAAAAAAACTGTCAACTGCTGGGGGGAAATTGAGATCTCTCCTGATCTAATTTTTTACCTAAACAAGTGATCTGTGCAAATGTAAATAGTTGACTGACTTGCAATCTAATAACTGTTTCACTACGGAATGCCAGTGGGGTTCTCTTGGCCATGGGCTTTCCAGTATAAAATGCTTTAATTGGGTAAACAACTTAACGTTCAAGGTAAAAGAATATTGGGATTTTCCTTCTTATTTTTGTAAAGAAAATATCAGCTCCGTGGACTTTATTCTGAATTCTAACAGTTTCAGAAAAAAAATGTACATAATTGTTTGATTTGTAAAACTGGGTATTCCCGTGTTGAAAGTTCCTTTGATAGATACTTTCCATTTTAAAACAAAAGCATTTCCCCTTCAGCTACAGAGGGCTTCCTTGGGAGAAAATCCAAATTTAAACCGTATTTAGGTCTCTATCATTTCTGCTCAATGTACTTTCTTCTGTCTTCAATGGACAGGGTAAATTAACTGCATTTTCAATTAGTGCATCCATGAATGAAATACTCCAGAGACTGGTTATGTATACAGGTAGTCCTTGACTTACAACCATTCATTGTTGTAAAAATCTGTTCAAAGTTACCATGGCACTGAAAAAAGTGTCTTATGATTGGTTTTTCACACGACCGTTCCCCAAGGTCATGTGATAAAATTTTTGGATGTTTGGCAACTGGCATGTATTTATGACAGTTGTAGTGTCATGTTTGTACACCATTTTTTAATTGAAATTTTTTAAAAAAAGTTTTACAAATATATGCCTCCCCTTCCCCCCAAACCCAAGAGGGGGTGCAACTCACTTAACAACTCTCTTGCTTGGCAATGGAAATTTTGGTTTAATTGTGGTCATAGGTCAAGAATTACCAGTAGTTTCTTTAGTAGCCAAACAGAGAATCTGGATACTAAAAAAAAGGGTGGACAGTGAATAACAAGGAACATAAATATCAGCATGGAATCATGGGAATAGTATACTTGATATTTTTCTTCTTGACTCAGGGAACATTTTAGAAAAGAATTATGAATATGTTTTCTGTGTACGTGAGTCAGAGGTGGGATTCAGCCAGTTCGCACCTATTCAGGAGAACCGGTTGTTAACTTTCTAAGCAGTTCAGAGAATTGATTGTTCGAAGAAATTCTCTTTTTGTTTTTTCCACTTTACAGGAATAATCCTGGAAGGAAGGAAACATTCTGGTATTGTTTCTAGCCTAATCTTTATTGCCCTGCCTACAGAAACTGCCTCTCCGGTTAATCCTTATTACATTCTAACAGTTAAAAGGAAGTGTCCATCAACCTGAGTGACATTGAGTTGGCCACACCTACCCAGTTGCATTACCACCATGCCATGCCTACCCAGCTGGTCATTAGGGCAGAGAACCAGTTGTTAAATTATTTGAATCCCACCACTGACGTGAATCCAACCTATCCCACTGAGTAGTGGGGATTCATTTTGTACAGTATAAATATTATATATTTTACAGCACAATGTAAGCTACGCCAATATCTGAAAATCGGCAGCAAAAATAGCATTGACATTTACATGTTGAAGTTCAGTTTTCTGGCTTACTTAAAAAAAAAAATCTAGGCCTAAATAAGAAGGGATAAACTTGTGAGCCGAATTCTCCTTATGAATCAATAAGTTTCATTAAGTCCTTCATTTATTCTTTTAATATGCATCTATATGACAAATCTGTCATGATAAAGGAAAACTTCAGAAAACTTTAGATTATTATATGAAAAAAAAAAATCCTTAATGCATTTCTGAAGATTCGTGTATTTCAGTGCTTTCTGCACTTTTACTGCTCCTTAAAGTTAAACACATGATGAAGGTAGCTTTTATTGTAATTTTAAATTTTAACCAAAATGGTCTTGTCAGTTAAGGTACATTGAGATAGTTTTATGGATTTTATATCAGGCACAGGCTTTATGGTTCTACTGTTTATTTTGTAAAACCGGTGTCAAAAATTTTAAGGGGCCTGGCAATATATAAATATATGTAATATTAACTGTGGAATGAACACTGGTTTTGAACAGGAACTTTTTAATTCTTTCTAAATGATGCACCATTGTTTGAACTGGTTTCAGTAGATTCCCTGGTATGTGTTAAAGATAGCTCTGGCTTTGCATTATTTTCAATCACTGCCACACCTTATTTATAGCTTAGCTCTACTCCCATGATTAAATCTTGCGTTTTGACTTTGTTCTTCCCCATTATTTGCAGTATTTTTAAATAATACCATTAGTGGAAAATATAATGAAAGGTTATGTTTCGAGCACAGTTATTCAA